ATGGCCTGCCCAGCGGTGCTGGGCTGTGATTCTGTCCCAGCCAAACCAGGACAATACAGAAATAAATTTTTATTTGTATATTTTTACATATTTATATTACTGCTCAATTTGGAAAAGTTCATACGGTGAAGATGACAATCCATCTTCAACATAAGCCTGAACCCCCCTGGAGCCACTATTTAGTTTAGAGCAATTGGTCTTGTGCTCTGACTGATATCAAGGAGAGTTGTGTAATTATTTGCATTAATGCATTTGTTTTTCTAATTTCAGCATGTGGCAAATTGATGAAAATTACAGGCCCCATTACAGTCAAGATATCTGGAACGCGATTTGGAGCCTGGATGACAGATCCATTAGCATCAGAGAAAAATAACCGAGTATGTTAAGGCACTGAGTATCTTTGTGTCCTTCTGGAGTTTTACTTGCTTTATTTTCATCTTTTAAAAGATATTTCCCCCCTAGGAGGTTACACTCACAACCATGTTTCTTCTACTTCTGTTGTTTTCACTGTTAAACATCTCCAGAGAAAAAGCAACAGTGTTTGTGCAAAAATATCCAAAGACCAAAGTTACCTGAGCACCTTTGTGACATTTCCTTCAACTGTTTCAGGGATGACATACACCTATCAGAACTGACCACACAATTTTTTTCCTTCCTACCATATTTAATTGAGTTTAGGTCTATTAAGAATCCAAGTAATATAACACAAACATCAACTGGTTTACCCAAGAGTGTAACCCATAAAGCAGCAGAGTCAAAATTTGCAGGGTTAGGCCCCATATAAGCTGCATTCAGACCATTTGCCACCTCAGATCCCAGTTATGTTATTGTTTGGGTCTGCGATAGGATCCCAAATTGGCCAGGAGAGGGAGGAGGTACTCTCTCCATGAAAGGGCTTTTGAAGTCAAAACACTGGGTTTCGTTTGTGTAAGACCCACAAGGTTAATTTTTTCAATGCAGAAAAAGCCACAGGCAATAGCAAAGGCAACATGCAAATGGTAGTAACTGAAGATCTGCGTGCAGCTCTCCCCTGCCTGCTGCTCCAGAACCATCCCCAGGGGCCCTCACCTCCACCAGCACCTGCTCCCTGCTGTGGACCCCTCCCCACAGCCCTGCAACCCCCTCCCCAGACAGCCTCCACGTTCCCCCATCTACCACCCTCTTAAAGCAACACAAAGACTGCCCGTGTGCAGGCAGATCCCTCACAGCATCTCGACTGATAAGAAGATGGGGAGCTGAAACAGTGTTTATACAAATGTTTTGTTAATGCCAGTTTTGAAATGGGCACAAAAAATATCTCCAGAAATTATTCTGTTCGTCTGTTAGTCAGGATTTGAATTTTCCTCTGACAAACTAAAAGGAGAAAAGGCAAAATGCATGAAAGAAATAATAGGGCAATGGAAGCTGGCATACAGAACATCAAAAAAAGTAATGATTTTGTTTTCTTTTGTTTTAACTTCCTAAACTTTACTGGTTTCGTTACTATTGTATTTGGTTTCTTTACTAACAATACACTGTTTTTCACTGATTAGAGGTTCAGCTGAAGAAAATTCAACCAAATTTTTTTCTAAGCATAAGTCCAAGCTTGGCTCACATGCCATTTCCCGTCTCTCTCTCTGATTAGTCTCTGAGAATATCTTTAAGGAAGCCCCATGTAGCAGAGACCCAAACCCTAAATAATCCAAATTTAAATCCAAAGTTAAATTTCTCTGAAAATGCAGACACTGTATTTAGTAACAGTCTTCTTGAGAGTTCACCTGTATAGGTAAGTTTTGATTCAGAAATTCAAGAGTTCCTCATGCTTTTGTAACAGGAATGTGGACAACACTGTACTTCAATAGCCTGCTGCACACCTAAAACCTTTTTTCCTTCTTTTTCTGCGATGTATCCATCATCCCATACCATGATCATGTTTCACAGATTGCGTTCCAGGTGTTTACTCCCAATCTTTGTTTTCTTTCCAGGTCTGGTACATGGATAGTTACACTAACAATAAAATAGTCCGTGAATACAAATCAATTGCAGACTTTGTCAGTGGGGCGGAATCAAGGACATACAACCTTCCATTCAAATGGGCAGGAACCAACCATGTTGTCTACAATGGCTCCCTCTATTTCAACAAGTATCAGAGCAACATCATCATCAAATACAGCTTTGACACTGGGCGGGTGCTTGCACAGCGTAGCCTTGAGTATGCTGGCTTTCACAATGTCTACCCTTACACCTGGGGGGGCTTTTCTGATATTGACCTGATGGCAGATGAAATTGGGCTATGGGCTGTGTACGCCACCAACCAGAACGCAGGCAACATTGTCATCAGCCAGCTAAACCAGGATACGCTGGAGGTGCTGAAGAGCTGGAGCACAGGCTACCCAAAGAGAAGTGCTGGAGAATCCTTCATGATCTGTGGCACCTTGTATGTTACTAACTCTCACTTAACAGGAGCCAAGGTCTACTATTCTTATTCCACAAAAACCTCCACTTACGAGTATACAGACATTCCTTTCCATAATCAGTATTTTCATATATCCATGCTTGACTACAATGCAAGAGATAGAGCTCTCTATGCCTGGAATAACGGACATCAAGTCCTGTTTAACGTCACTCTTTTCCACGTCATTAAAACTGAGGACGACACATAATTCCTTCCCTTTCCCTCACCTCCCTCCCTCAAAGCAGTGTCATTTGTGAGAAACTCTAAAAGCATCCATCTCTCTCAGTTCCTGTTACTTTACATTTCTTTTTTCATTAAGGAAAAGCAACATTTTCTACCATATAATGCATTTCAAATATGGCTGAGCCTGTCAAAAATGACCTGTTGGAAATAAAAGCATCCTAACTCATGATTCTACAAGGTCTGTCAAGACCTTGTCTTGAAAAGCACTAAAGAGGATTTAAGTGGCTAAAGACAGTTTTTAAAAGATTATGATCTGCCTTATTTTAGAGTCGGAGACTAATGGTGGCTTAGATGCATGAATGTCTTTTTTTACCTCATTTTTATTTTTAATCTTTTGCTCAACTTCAGGAAATATTTTGGTAGTGTCAGACACATATTGCACATTGTATTTTTTTATTTATTCCAAAAGAAAGATTTAGGAATTTAATTTACTTGGACATGGAGTATGATTCATTTTGCCATCACCAAATTTCAGATGTGGTGCTGTACAGTATGTTTTTAAATCTCTTGCAAACATTTTATCGACAGTATGTATTTCTACCATTGTAACCACCATTGTGCAATTGTATCTCTTCACTTATGTGAAAGTAAACTAAGTACTATTTTTTATAAAAGATATTGAAGCTTAATTGTAGTTCTGGCTATGGGTCAATTGAAAGTGGTAAAAATCTGAGAAAATGTTGTTATTTCTGAGAAAGACCAATAGTTCTCAGGTGGTCAAGTTGCTTTCCTTAACCTGCCTGTCTTCTTACTCATAGTCGAAGAACATTCATCTGTTGACAAAGCTCTTCTCTGGGACAGTAATCAGGGAGAAAACACAAAGGAAAAGGTTCAAAGCCTAAATGATCAGTGTGGCACCTGGTAGCCACCATATTGCTTGCCCTTGCTGGAAAACAGCCACAACACTAAAGCCAACCTCTTGCAAAGAGGTTTGGGTTGTGCTAGCAGTAGTATTCTTACTTATGGTCAAAACTGATGCCTTTAAGAAACAAATATTTCTGAAAACTATGTGTCTTGCTATACTATCTCATTAGACATTTGGTGGGGGGAGGGGGGCACATTTTCATTGAGAAAAAGGAATGAGGTGCTATTTATTTTGGCATACACTGAAAGAAATTAACATTAAGAACTAGCATAAGACTGTTTATTGAGCTGGGCTATCACATAATGCAAAAAGAGAGGTATCTGAAAAATTGTGTGAAAGCTTCACTCCTCACAAAATCTGAGATTCTCCTCTTTATACGCTTTGAAATTGGCCTCATAGAAAAGCAAGAACATTTGCAAAAAAGTTCCTATTTAAGAACACGAAAAAAAACTTAAATGCACTGACATTTTGCCAGATCTTTTTTGAAGGCATTTGATTTGCTGATTCTTCCAACGTGTACCAGCTGAGACCACCTTAAGTCTCATGAATGTTTTCATTATTATAAATATATATGTCTGCATACATTCACAAGTCTGCTTTACAATGTAAGCCCACATGACACTGAACAACAAATTGCCTTCTTTTTCATACTGCTTGCAAAACAGAAAACTACTGATTAGGTTTCAAGAACTGATAAAGGAAGAAAAACCAACAAATTACATTACAACATGACCAAAGAAAAGTTACTCTCCTGCTTCCATTTCCCCCGTCCTGCTTAGCTGAAATGATAGCTGTTATCCCTTACAATCAGTTACACAGGATTTCGAGACACCAAGTTCAGCTTAACAGACCAGTTAAACCACTTCTGTAACCAGCCTTCCTGTATTGACAATGAAACCTCCTCTGTGACACGTGAAAGTCTATACAACTACCCATTAGGAAAAGTATTTTTGTCACACAGGAATGGTTTATGAAAACAAAGTGTGTTCAGATTTTTATCAAAAGCCCTAAAACAAATCCTAACTTTTCCCCCACACAGAGTAACTTCAACAAAATAGAACTTTTCACAAATACAGCTTCCTTAAAAACATTAGTCATTAGACTGAGAAATAAAACTTCTTTCTACTATATCATCATAAGCTAGACTAATAGTCATGACATGAGAATCACTTCATTTGAAAAAAATGGTTACTACCATATTTCTTTGTAAGAATTTCGTACTGTGCAATTAGCATGCAGACGTTAGTACAAGTTGATAACAGTTCTTACAGTAAGATTAATCTCACCTGATTTCAATGCCATTTAGTTAGCCATTTGAAGGGTAACAGATTCCCATTAGTCAAAGGAAAGAAAGGAGACACAACTACAGGGTGCTAGAGATGGGTGGATAAGAGGGCTAGGAAAGGGACCTTTGAAGGGTGATTTGTCTTACTGATGAAGCTACTGTGCTGAAGCATATTAGTCATACCTAGATAAATCCTGCCCTTCTAAATTAGTAACAATGGGTTGGATTCCAATACCTTTAAACATGAAATAACAGCTTGCGCAGCATCAATACCACAAAGCCTGGTGAGAGATTATCAACTAAGTAACTTCCTGCTAAGGAGCATTCATTTTCCTGTGAATCAGTGTTGATCACCTGTCTTTTCCAAATTGGAAATTCCGAAGTCATGTTCCCAAAAGGCTGAAAACACCATGCCTCAATATAAGCAAATCTGTGTTACAAGTCTTACCTTCGTAATTGAGCAGCACAAGCAGAAAATCTTCATAACATAGCAGCAAGTAAAGTTTTATTCTTATAGATGAAGCATATGCTGTTTGTTATGAGGAGGTAGTGATACTATACAGGGAAAAAACCATCTCTCCTTAAAAATGAGAAAATTAATTGTAAAGCCTATTTTAGTGTGTTGGTGACCTCCTGCTTCAAGGGGTAGACATGTAGAAAGGACCACGTCATTCCTGCACCCAAACCAGAATTTTTAAATTTCACAAAGCTGTGCTGCCAGCAGAGTGGGATGCACACAACCTCAAATCTAGCACAGGAGCACAAGTCTGCCAATCCACCAAGCTTCCCCTCTCCTGGGGGAGCCTGAGGAACGATGTGCACCATAAAGCCCACAGCCTTCTCCCTGGTACAGGTAAACCATTCCCCACAATGAAAAAGGTAGAGCAAACCTCCTCAGAAAAAGCTTCCTGAAGAGTAAAGATCTTTTATAGTCCCTTCTGGCAACTTTTTCCAGTGAGTAAGTACCAAGTCTCTTGTTACGCATGTGGGCTGTCCAGCCTGCCCTACCTGTCACAGTGCGCTTAGGAGACCACTGGCAGAGCAGCTCTGCGGAGTGTGGAGCCTACTCGGCACTGTAGTCACTGCTAGCAAAAGGTGGTATTCAGTTTGAAAAATCAAAAGAAAGTTGTTGAATGAGACAGATTAATACAATGTTCTAATCACAGATTGGTTATATCTAAGCACATCCATTTCCAGACAAGCTGAGGGGCACTAGCTGTCACTCAGCTCAGCAGGCTGCATCCGCAGCAAAGGAAGACAGGATCTTTGTTTCAAACCACAGCCTGAATAAATCTGCTACCTGGTAATTTGTCATAATAAACAATTGCTTAGGAAACACTAGAGTAGAGATGAACAAATCGTTCACAGCAAATTATTCATCCGGTAAATTGTATCCTTTTCCAGTTCAATAATTGCCAGGGAACAGTCTTGATTCATACTGATTTTTATGCTAGTCAAAATGTTTTTGGAAATCATTTGGATGGGCACGTATCTTCCTATAAATCATCCAAGCATTTCCTGCTGTGAATCTTACTCTAGTGGCATTCGGAAGGCAATGCTGAGCATTTGGGCATCTTTTCCACAAAAGGCTGATGAGGGCTGCAGCTGCAGAGCTTTGAGACAGAGCTGCATCTTAGCCCGTTGTGCTGACAAGCTCCCCACTGCACAAATACTGAGGAGACAGACTCCTGCTCCATGACATTCTGTAACAACTGCATCCCGCCAGAAGCTCACACTCAAAAGGAATCAAGCACGCAAAGACTGTCTTCCACAGATCATAGAGGGAAGTCCAGAAGCTCACTCCCCCATGAAGAATAGAGACCGTCTTATCGCCAAAACAAAAAGCAAAACCCGTTTTCTAAGCTGAGCTTTCCTCACCAATTCTCCACCACATGACCATATACATGCACATCAATATGCAAGCAAATATATTAGCTATAGACTCATTCTAGAATTATATAATAATAATAAGGTTATTTCTCCCACAGAAAACAGACCATTTCAGCTATGCAAATATCATTATTACTAGGGTTTCTACATTCAGTTACTGGGAAACTGAGAAGACACGGAGTTACCCAGCACCAAGTAATGGAGACTACACAAAAATGAATGTTTGTGCAACATGGCTTTCACTGGGCTCTAGAAAACACATGTACTACATTGATGTGATAGCTTTGACCACAGATTCACAAAACTGACACAAAAATAGATGAGAACTCTTTTACTCCAAAGACCTGATGGCTTTGAGTTTCTGTGAGAACAAGGAAAAGGGATTTTTATCCAAACAGGTGTCAACTGCTACACATGCTTTATGTGAAGTTATACATTGAGTTTGAAAGATGACTGCATGAAAAACATTTGGAGAGGAAAATACCTATACAGCGAAGTTGTTTTAAAGTAATCTGAAAGAAATGTACCATGCTGTATTACTGAATTGTGTTACTCCTTTGATTTTCTTAAGCTTCCTGAAGTCACTCCCTTAGTTTTCCTCACTCATGTACAAACCACTCCAGATTATTTTTCTTTGCATTTTCTCTTCTTTTGTTTGTTCTAATCTTCTTGATCTTCACCTAAACCTGCCCCAACCCCTCTCATCTTGCAGTGAGAATTTTAATGAAGGGTTGTTCAGACAGAACTCAAACTGCACAGAAGATTTATAGCACAGCAAGCTTCATCTGGAGAAGGCCTAAATTTATTCTCTCAGTTAACTAAAATTTAGCTCTACTGTGCCCATAAAACTGCCTACGAGCAGTACGGATTGTATATCACGGGTTGCTCTACAGAAATAATTTAAAACAGATTCACAATAACTTTCTTCCCTTTTATTTATTTATTTTTAAGGAAATCTCTTTTTTTCGCATTTACAATGGTGAGAAATTAAATTAGAATCATCTTTGTCCAGAGCAGGTTTAGTCATCCATTTGTCCCTTCTGGATCAAACACTCAAGGTGGTCGGCAATGCTTCCATCTCCAGGCATCACAGTAATTGAATGTGCATCCTGTCAAAGGTGCTTATGCCGTTTGAGTTAAGCTCCAAGTCTGTGTCACACCATGCAGACAGGCCATTTATTTAGGCTTCCCTCATCTGGGTAAACCAGGCTTACTGTCTCCTTGAAGGACATTACAGATTAATGGTTTCTCAGGACCGTCACTGTCAGTCCAGCACTTTGAGAGACAAGTGCCTTTTGGAGTAAAGTACACAGGAGAAATGCTTTAACTCATCACTACAGCTCCAACACAATGGTAGCTCATTCCTGGAGGAAGAGCACACACCACCTGACATTTCTGTAGCAGCCACCTCCTCGGGACTGCAAGCAATTTACAGACACTAATTAACACAGTTTCCCACTCCATCAGGAAAGAAAGGAAATTTTTACAAATTTCATTATTCAGACTGAGCAGTTTGGACAGAGAACAGCTCAGCTTAAGCTTAACAGGGTTTCTTTAGCTCACCAGGAGTTGATGTTACATTTCCAGTATCTCA